TTGCAGCCTGCTCTAAAAGAAACCTATAAGAAAGCAGGATCTGCCAGCATTCTGCACAACAAATTATAATACACATCAATACTAAGGATACAAATAACCATCAGCGTCTATTAAATATTCAATGACACCAAAATATATCTCCAAGGGAAGGCATATGAATATGCACTGTCACTGAATTACATCATATCCATCTATCCATCGCTGCTTTTCTTGTATCGTTAGATATCTGATTCTTCATACAATTATTACTAACTTTCATTTCTGTCTCTTCATTTTTGTTGTGTTTTCCACCATGGCCTTTGCAGGAAAAATTCCCGTGGTGTGATACATGTTTCATTTTCCTTGCAGGTGTTCAACGAGATCATTACTGAAACTGCTGTTTGTTATATTTGGCAGCTATGGTGCTTAATTGTTGGTCCAATGCTCCTTAATCAGACGAGGTTACTCGTGTTGAGCTGTTAAATTTCATTAATTCAAGGTGGCATGGCTGAGCCATTTAGGGCAGCATAAGCAGAATCCAGTGTACTTCCGTGTTTTTTGTTTTGTGTTCTTAGCTTCTTTATATTTTTGTAGTTTTTATTTTATTTAGAAGAATGTAACAAGCTGGATATGTATCACCTAAACCCCAACTCGCAGGTATGTTTAAGAATAAAATTTATTATAATATTTAGGAATATAAAAATTGGTTACCTTTTTTAATAGGTAGTTCACAATTGTGACACGATACTCATCCATTAAACCCAATAGGAATTATGATTAATGTAAGTAAAATCCGTCAAGGATTATTACAGTCAATGTGTTTCATTCTCTTGCTATTTTCTTAAAAACGACCCAGATAAAATGAGTTACTTCAACAATATGCCAAGATACCTCCGTACTTCAATGGATCTTAGAGACTCAATTTCTTAATAGCCTGCTAACATCTAATCTATCACAGCATTGGTGTCATGAAAATGTCTTGATGTTTGCAGATAAAGTTTTCTATAGTTTTATATTCCTGCTCCTACCACTAAAAACAGTTTCCTTTATGGAAACATTAACCGGTATGAGATTGGAAGCTTACATACCAAAATAATTAATAGAAGTTTATTGAAAGATGCTAAAAATAGTATGCCTTAGGAAAGTCCAGAAGGTAATAATTAGCAAAAGGATAGACTTGAGACTTAAGAAACTGCTCTAAAAAAAAAAAAAAAAAAAAAAAAAACACCTGCCAATGAATGCTCTTGATATTCCATCAGGAAGCGCACGAGAAATAAACCTAGTACTGGTTGGCCTTGCATTGGTCGCTAAAAATCTAACCATTTGAGCAGAGCTGATCAATCCCTGGAGACAATATTTCGGTTAGTATCAAGCCAAAAGTGTTCTGTTTCCTCCTTATTTGTGTTTTTTGGGTTCATAATATCTAAAAGAAAGACTTCATACAAAACATGATATCAAAAGTACTGAACCATTTCATAAGCTTGCCGGAACCCAGCAGGTAAATCCATCATTGTCCTTTGCCACTCATTCAATACCGCATCTACAAATTTTCTATCAAAGAGCTGCAGAAAATATCATAAATGATCAGTACACCCATAAATTTCAAATTAACATAACCCAAAGAGAAAAATCTTTCAACGAATATGCAAAAATGCTTATGTCAATAAAGGATATTCCCAACCTCTTCAAGAAACATCCTCCTTCTAAACAGACCACCTTCATCTCCCTCGTCGCCATCATCAAAGTCATCAAAATAATCATCATCATCGCCATCATCATCACCTCCATCACCACCACCATTATTTATTCTCTTTCCAATATCTCCACCACCTCCCCCAACTGCAGTCTGCAATTTCAGTTATTAGCATTAGCACAAAATACTGAACAGACTAAACAATAACATGCCAACTTATATGGCCAGGCTTGCTTGATTGAAATCAGAGGCCAGAACGAGTCAAGAATTTACAACCGTCTAATTTGGTAGCACTTGAATGGTTAGGAAACCTTAGAAAAATTTCTGGTCTAAGAATCAGTGTTCTTGATATTGATATTTTCTTAGGGTACAATGACATATTTTATTAGGTGTTTATGCATAATCTGCATCCGATTTACAAATTCTAATACATTTCTACTTGCATGATCAAAATATTATGAAATGAAATCAGGTGCAATTTCACACACAAGAATGATAAAAGAAAATAAAAGAAAAATTCTGATACACAAGAAAACAACCAAAATCTTGGAAAAGTTGAAGATTGCTTAACAAATAGAAACTTAGTATAACTTTTAGGATCCTATTTTCATATATTAGCTCGTTCAATGTTTCCAACACTTTAAACACCAAAATTCACTCAATTTCGCCACTAGCACTATGGTCTAGTACTGTTCTTCGTAACTTGTACATGAGAGATTTTAGGTTTGATTCCCATGAATGGTGAGTTCAATATCAAATTATGGTTGGCCCAGTGTGTGGCTTAGCTCAATCCCCCACTCCCAATTTCGTTGCAAAAACTATGAATTAGCGAGGAGGCATATTACACTACACCTGATTTTGATAAAAGTAATTTCGTTCATTCTCCTAAAAAAATCGTATCTCGTTTACAATCTCTAGATTACTCCAGTATCCAGCACCTAGGTCAAACATTTCTAAAGGGAGTTTCTTTTCCATTTCCCACATTTTCTCACCAACCAAACAACTCAATCAACTCAAACAAAGCAAGAAACATTCAAAATTTCACTGCGAAACTGACCTCGGGGCTAGACTTGGATTGCTTCTGAGACATGTCGAGCTTGCCCTTCTCAAGAGTAACCGCACCGAACGCACCGTACTGTCCCTTCATAACCGGACCAAACCCGCCGGGGACCGACGGCCCCACGAAGCAGCGCTCCAGCATAGCCATGGAGTCTCCGTCAACAGCATCGGAAGTAGACGGAGGCGGCGCGCAATTCGCCTTCAGCACCAGGCCCCTCCGCTCCACCATCCGAAGCTGGGCCGGAACCGCCAGCATCGGCTTCGTCGGGAGCTGCGTGTTTATCGGCATAATTTGAGCCGTCTGGAACACAGCGTGCGACATTTTTTTGTTTTTTCTTACTGTTTCTGAATTTTTATTTTCTGTTTGGATACCGAGAAAATAAGAGGTGATTTTCTCGGGAATTTTCACTTCTCTGGAGAGAGAGAGAGAGAAGTGAAGAGACAAACGAGGGAGAGAAGGAGTTGGGGATTGGGGGTTTTGAGGGGAATATAGCCGGCTACATGACGACAACCCAATCCGAAAGCGACGTTTTGCTTCGTTTCCCTTTTCTTTTTTCCATTTTTTTTCCCTACCAAGTGGGTTGACTCGGGGTTTTTGGGCGAGTCGCCTCGGCCGGCCCACATTGGTCAACTCGAACCGAACTGAATTGAGACTAAAAAAAATGGTCAAGGAGCCTCTCTAGATCTTCTTTGTGGAGATTCGGAAATCAATTAATCGTGTCCGTTCATTTACATCATGAGTCTAGTTTTCGTTAAGTATTATTTATATTCAATTTTAAATTTAAAATTTAAAATGTTTTCTAATAGCACGATATTCGATGAACGAACGTGATTGATTGATCTTCCGAATCCCCACAAAGAGAATCCGAAGATGATCCTATTCCTAAAAAAATTGAAGAAAATCGAGTTGTCCAAAACAAAACGAAACCGGCTTTTGGAGTTCGGTTCAGACCAAACCGATATATTTATAAATATATATACTTTTTTTTACAATAAACGGCCTTTGTGAAAGCCTAAACTCATTCTTTTTAAAGCCCAAATACCAAACCCTGGTCTAGTACTACCCTCCCTTAGCTCAATTTTCACTAAGGAAACCGTAAGTTTTTGCGGTTTGGTTCGGTGCGGTTTTGAGGTTAAAATCGAAATGAAACCAAACCATTTGGTTCGGTTCAGTTTTGTTTTAAACGGTTTTGGTTTGGTTTCATTGTTTGAAAAAACTATTATGGTTACCTAGTTATATCTCATTTCATTTTCCCTTGATATACACTTCAATTCTCTTCTATGAGCAACATTTATTGTTTGTTTTTCATTTTGCATGTTTTTTATTACTGCATTGTTCAAGCATACATACAATATTAAAATTCAATCAAGCATGGCTTCAGTTACAATCAGGAATGCATACAACATACATTATTACACTCAACTATTCTTTCCTGGGCAATGAGTTAGCAACAATAGAATTCCCATCCACAAAGACCACAACATAATAATAACCCAAAAAATAAATTGTTCATCCAATTCAATAAAAAAGTTTTGGTGTTTCAATCTAATTATACGACATCTCTATCTCTACTATACTAACAAATATCCACCTTGATGAAACAAGTAAAAGAATTGACTCACGCTTGAACGATCTCCTTCAACAAGCAATGCAATTGACTCAATAGTTCTGTTTATACCATATTTAGGGCCTTGTATTTAAATCTCGTACAAATACTCGGGTGAATTAAATGTAATTATGTAATAAAGGAATGGGCAAATATGTAATAAGTGATGAGTCCTTATTCTATAAAAGGACCCATCACCCTCACAATTAAGGGAAGCCAATTCCTAGGCCCTCTCACCCCCTCTCAAAGCTCTCACTCTCAGAGCTCTCTCTCCCTCACTTCTCAGAGAAATATAATACAATCAGTGTGGACGTAGCCCAAACCTTGGGGTGAACCACGATACATCTTGTGTTACTTACATTTCATGCAGATTCATGGTCGTATTTACGTTGTTCCAAGACCTCCGGTTTTGTGCATCAACATTTGGCGCCGTCTGTGGGAAACGATACAAAAAGTTGTGTCGATTATCTTTCATTTTTTTCACATCCACTGTGAATCTGCAAAAACCCAAAGCTTTCACAAAAAAACCCAACGAGTCATTCTCTCCCTCTAAAAACCAACTAGAAAACTCTACCAAAACCTCATCTCTATCTGATTTCCATCAATCTCCGCCACGACAGTTCAAAGCTTTCGGAGAAACCCATCTCCCAATGTCCACTGAAATGGTGTCCCAGTTTAAGGACGCCACCCAATCGGCGAGGGTCACGCTCCGGCCATGGGGTGAGCTCCTGGAACCCACCGCACTCAGACTCTCATCCAATCTTTCCGCCGCAACAACCCGACTCACCCAGAACTTGACCCACTTCCAGTCCAACTACGCCTTGATCGCCCTGATCGTGCTCTTCCTCAGCCTCATCTACCACATGTTCTCCATCATCGTCTTCTTGATCGTCTTCGCCGCGTGGCTCGTACTCTACTTCTCGCGCGACCAGCCCCTCGTGGTGTTCGGGTTTACGGTCCCGGACCAGGTCGTGATGGTTGTTCCTGCCTTGGTGACGGTCGTGGCTTTGGTCATCACTCACGTGTGGCTCAATGTTATCGTTTTAGGTGTGATTAGGGTCATTTTGATTGGGTTACACGCGGTGTTTAGGGGGACGAATGACCTTGTGATGGACGACCAAGAATCACTGTATGGGGCTCTGCTCTCGGATGATACTGACCCAAGTGGGAATTACACCATTATGTGACTGTTCCTCTCCAATTTTATGAGGATCACTCCAATAAGGCAACCATGGCTTCCTCCACCGACGTGAAGAAAATAGCAGTGTGTCAAGCATGGGTCACATTGGGCCTAGTCTTGGCATTGTTAAGGTCCCTGGAATTGCATAACAAGCAGTGTGGACGTGCACCGGTATGAGAATAATAAGGTTTTAATGAATAGCAGGAACATATTCTGTGTGTTTACTGTTCAATGAAGTGTGGACGTGTGACTGTTCAATAAAGTGGACGTACATCCCAGAAAATAGCAGTGTGTTTGCTGATTTTCCTGACCACAACCATTAAAGCAGCTCTGCAAAGAACTGACGGTATCATACATGCACTGGTATGAGAATAATCACCTCGGGGAACGAAGCTGGTCACGTGGCCTTATCGAAGCAGTATGAGTTGCCAGAGATGAGAATAATGGAAAGGAGAGAACGCAAAAGCAATGGCTACCCACGGAGGAAGTAATGATGGTGCCAGTCAGGTGCACCGAAAACACTAACAGCTGTGAATGTCAACACCAAGAATGACAGCTGCGTCCGGTCAGTGACGAAAGTACAAATACCTCCTCCTAGTGCCAGCCAAGTACTACTTCCAGATGGGAGACGATTGGCCTATCAAGAACAAGGAGTCTCAACAAAGGGCACTCGATTTTTACTGATTGTGGTGGTGATGGCATTATGGACGTGACCCATTGAGCAGAGGGTCGGATTTATTTTTTGAAATGATGTAAATTATTTATTTTATCTTTCGGAGACATCTGTATAAACCCCATCAGAGGGTAATATGTATAAACCCCATCAGAGGTAATATGTATAAACCCTATCAGAGGGTAAAAAAAAAAAAAGACAAAGCCCAAAATAAATGGGCTGGAGTGTTGTGTGGAGGGGAAAGGCCCATAAGCCCAAAATAGCACCAACCAGATGACCAAAAATACGCCCAGTACTACCAAAAATTATTCGGCAACCCGCCGCTATTACCACCAACCAGGTGTTCAAAAGTACGCCCAGTACTCCAAAATTATTCGGCAACCTGCCGCTATTACCACCAACTAGGTGATGAAATGTACAACCCGTACTCTAATATCATTTGGCAACTAACCATTCATGCCATTAACCAGGTGATCAAAAGTACGCCCAGTACTTCAAATCATACATAAGCATTACTCATGTCAATCATACATAAACATACATGAGCATTACTCATGTCAATCATACATAAACATTCATGAGCATCACTCATCCAATCATACATAAAATGAGCATCACTCATGTGAACATTCATGAGCATCACTCATGTCAATTAACATAAACATTCATGAGCATCACTTATGTCAATCAGCTTCAAAAACTTCATTTACAAAAGCTCTAGCTTCAAAAGCTTCATTTACAGAGCTCTAGCTTCAAAGCTTCACTTGCAAAGCTTCACCTACAAAGCTTTAGTGCAGGGTATACAAATACCGCATCTGAACAACCGCCACTTCGGCCCATACATGGATTCAATTTGAAGTCTCCAGCCAACATACTCTATTGGGCGAAGACTTGAGGGACTACATTATGTACCACATATTGGGCCTCAACTGGGCCTCATGAAAAATACTTGGGGGACCTAACCCATTATTTATGTATTAAGGAGCGAGCCCTTATTTTATAAAAGGGAGTCCCTCATCTTCATTAGAGAGCAATGCCGCCAGCTGAGCAACCACCTCGCCGCGAGCATCACTCCTAGCCCATCACTTATGTATTAAGGAGCGAGCCATTTATTCTATAAAAAGGACTCCCTCACTTTCATTAGAGAGCACCCATTATTCATGTACTGAGGAGCGAACCCTTATTTTATAAAAGGGACTCCCTCACCTTCATTAGAGAGCAACGCCGCCAGCTGAGCAACTGCCTCGCTGCGAGCATCACTCTAGCCCATCACTTATGTATTGAGGAGCGAGCCTTTATTCTATAAAAGGGACTCCCTCACCATCATTAGAGAGCATCAACTCTAGCCCATCATTCATGTATTGAGGAGTGAGCTCTTATTCTATAAAAGGGACTCCCTCACCTTCAAACGCCACAAAGTCAAGCCAACCAAGGCAACATAAGCCACGAGCCTCGCAGCGTGTGCTACTTCTAGTTGAGCATCATTTCAGATTGAGCACTACCTCATATCGAGCATCGGTTCAAGACAGCATCTAGTTACTCCGACCCACACATGGACTAAATTTCAAGTCTCCAGCCAAAAGACTCTCTTGACTGAAGACTTGGGAGACTACTGTTTATACCATATTTAGGGCCTCGTATTTAGATCTCGTACAAATATTCGGGGGACTTAAATGTAATTATGTGATCAAGAAAGGGACAAATATGTAATAAGTGAGGAGTCCTTATTCTATAAAAGGACCTCTCACCCTCACAATTGGGAGATGCCATTTCTGAGGCCAATGCCTAAGGCTCCTCACTCCCTCTCCAAGCTCTCATTCATAAAGCTCTCTCTCCCTCAAATAAATATATAATCAGTGTGGACGTAGCCCAAACCTTGGGGTGAACCACGATACATCTTGTGTTATTTACATTTCATGCAGATTCACGGTCGGATTTACGTTGTTCCAAGACCTCCGGTTTTGTGTATCAACAAGTTCCAACTCTCATATTTTCTATGCATAGTCCCTAAACAACCAAGGTTTAAGCATGTATGTTGACTAATTTGTTGATTGTCGCTATTAGCAAACAACAAATGAGTCACTCATAAAGATTTCTCAATTCTCACTATTTTTCGGCCTAAACCCGATATATCACACAAGAAAAAGATACAAGAGCCAATGGGGTGAGAACAACTACTAATCTGTATTGCCATTTGCCAAGATTCAAAAACTTATTATTTGACTTGCTATAAAATGAATCCACTCAAATGAGCATCGAAATCATTCCAAATTTCACAAACAACATTTAATCTAACTAACCGTAAGTCGAAACGGAGGAGGATTCTCTCCCCTCCTAATGTCTCTTCCCTTCCCTCCCCTCCTATTTGAACGGTTATGGTTTAGCCACATCAATATCTTATATTGATTTTTTTATAGAGACAATAAGACAAAAAATAATATATGAGGGGAGGGGAGGGAAATAGATGGTAATAGAAGGAGAGAGAATCTTCAATAGGATGGGAATAGGAGTATCAAAATCATTCATCAAATTTATAACATTACTAATTAGATACAATCTCAACAACCCCCCAAAGCTACAAGAAAGACGAGACTACAACCGTTACTTGCCCAATAGTACATCGCCCTCCTTCCTGACTTTACTTTCCTAGCTACCAAGCCCCTCTTCAAACCCTTGCCAGAAGGACGAAAGGAAAGATTCTCCGCGATACCGCTTGAATAACGATAATCGGAGTGAAAATCCTTAAAGAGAAAGCTTTAGCAACGGTAGGAGTTACTACTTACACCAGCATATGACGAGCTTACCAGAACCTTCTCCCGCAAACAACAAGAAGAGTTTGGCTTGGACAAGTTCATGATATGAAGAGCCTTTAGATGAAGAATGCCCTACTAATACAAGTCAATGAGAGGAAAAGACTCAAGATACTGAGACAACAACGGGTGAAGGTATTACATATAAGCCTTCAATCCGGCTTGATATGCTTTCTCTTTATATAAATATTCTTTTTTTTTTAGACATGAAGAACGGGAGAGAAGAGAACAAGGGATCAAAGTGACGAAAACACCGGGATTGCGTCGCCTTACAACACCGATGAAAGTAATTTCTGATGAGAAGGAAAGTAAAATAAAGTATTGGGAGTCGTTTCCTCTTTTTTGCTCATAACCGAGCTGAGTGAATAGATAACGTTTTACTGGCTAAGCAAGTCATAACAGCGTATTTCTTTATAGTTTAGTGAAAACGCTCTGGCATTCACGATTGCAGCTCGATTCCTCATGTGCTGTGACAAATAGGGGTTCATATAGGGTCTTTGCGTAGTCTGCGTCAATCCATGTGAAAGCACAAGCATCATTGTCTGATTTAGGAAAGAATAAGCTTTGTATTGCTTTGAGTGTAGTAAATGTTACCCGGGGAGGTTAGTGCGAACGGGTTGAAGCAGCTTCTTTTAGAACCCACTATGTAATTAGTTGTTCCTGCCTTAGTTGTAGTTGTGGAAGCCTGGTCTTTCTATTTCTGTGTAGTGAAATGGTCTCTAAAACGGGCTTAGGACCGCGGGTAGCAGCTGTTGAAACAGAATTCATAAGCAGCAGTGCCAGATAAGTACTTCGTTAATCGCAGATAAGGACTTCTTCACATAGTGGCACAAGTGCTCATAACACACCACTCAAAACTTACATTCTACTCAACATCCAAACATAAAGCATTAAAACAAAAACTTCAATTCATCATCTTTCCCTCAATTTTCTCACCAACCAAATAGACAATACCAAAAAAGCGCTCCAAAAAGCTTACATTTTTCTTAGATTCTTGATCGGAGACTGCACTATCTTCAACATTAGGAACGTAGGAAGCAGGAACATGACCTGGGTTGGTGAGAACACAGCAAAAATAGGAGAAGAGGTAGAGAGATGCCAAGAAAGGGATTATGTGCCCATGTTATGATGTGGTTGAGTCCATACTAAATGTATGAACTCAATGAAATAACCAATTAGAATTTAAAATTTAGTAAAGTTATGCGATTTCGGTTTAGGTTCGGTTTCGAAGGGCTGGAACCAAAACCAAACTGTTTTTCCCCTATTCGGTTTAGTTTTAAACCGAAACCATTTTGAAACATCAAAACCAAACCGTTCAGTGCGGTTCGATTTAGTTCCTGTTTCGGTTTCGATTTTTGGGTTCAAGTGCTCACCCCTAATTTTCACCCTTAGATTCAATCATGTCTCAAGATTGCAACGCCAAACTCTCACTAGCATCTGTAGATTTGATCTCGAACGAAAAAGATGTTTAGAATCGAGCGAACTAAACCAAAACTAAGTCAATCTGCTTTTGTGCGGTTTTTC